CACACACACACACACACACACACACACACACACACACACACACACACACTCCTACAAACTCTCTCCCTCTCTGTCCCTCTCCCACACACGCCCCCCACCAGCGCCTGCGTGTGCTTAATACAGTGGAAAATCAAAGCGCAGAGCCTCCCCGGTTCACACACACCAGCGTTACGCACAGAGAGAGGCGCCGTCGCTCTCCCCTCCCTCCCTGTTCTCTCCTCTCCAGTATTCTTCAAAGTTTTTTCCACAGCAAACAGATGTGACAAACCCACATCTGGAGGTTTTTATTTTACTTCCACATCGGGCTCTTGTCTGTTTTTCCTCCCAGTTCCATGGTTCTATGACGCGCGACATGTCTGGGTGAGGTGACTTTTACGCACGCCGCTGAAATGGATCACAGACTCTCCAGAGGCAGCTGGGTACCCGTGACTGGTCTGGTTATATGTCTCCTCCTGTGTGCGTGCGTGGTGGACCTGGTTCTGGCGCAAATCCGTTACTCCATCCCGGAGGAGCTGGAGCACGGAGCCTTTGTGGGCAACATCGCAGAGGACCTGGGTTTGGATGTGGCCAAGCTGTCAGCGCGCCGCTTTCGGATTGTCTCCGGCGCAAAGAAGCAATATCTGGAGGTGAACCTGGAGAACGGCATCCTGTTTGTGAACGAAAAGATAGACAGAGAGGAGCTGTGCGAACGGAGCCCGAGCTGCTTCCTCCACTTACAGGTGGTCATTGAAAACCCGCTAGAACTCTACAGAGTGGAAGTGGAGATTTTAGACGTGAACGACAACTCTCCCAGCTTCCCGTGGACCGAGTTTAACCTCGACGTCACGGAGTCCGCGGCGCCCGGCTCGCGGTTCCCGTTAGAGAGCGCGCAGGACCAGGACGTGGGCACCAACTCTCTGCGCTCCTACCAGCTGAGCTCGAACGCGCACTTCGCGCTGAACATCCAGACGCGCAACGACGGGAGCAAGTTCGCGGAGCTGGTGCTGGACACCCCGCTGGACCGGGAGCAACAGAAAAAACACGACATGGTCCTCACAGCGTTTGACGGAGGCTCCCCCGAACGCTCCGGGACGGCGCTCATCACCGTGACAGTGTTAGATGCCAACGATAACGTGCCCGTGTTCGACCGCTCCGTTTACAGGGCGAGTCTGGTGGAAAACGCACCGAGAGGGACGTTGGTGCTCAAACTGAACGCCTCAGATCTGGATGAGGGCTCGAACGGGGAAGTTACCTATGCGTTTAGTGGGCACGCGCCTCTCAAGGTGCGCGAGCTGTTCAGCGTGGACCCGTATATGGGGGAAATCCGAGTGAAGGGCGTTGTGGACTACGAGAAAGCCAGCGTGTACGAGCTTTACGTACAAGCTAAAGACAGGGGGCCGTCGGCTGTGGCCGTGCACAGCAAAGTGCTGGTTGACATCCTGGATGTGAATGACAACGCGCCCGAGGTCATCCTGACATCCGTGTCCACACCTGTCCAGGAAGACGCGCCTCCGGGTACGGTGATTGCCGTGATCAGCGTGATGGACCGAGACTCCGGGGAGAACGGGAACGTGGACTGCCAGATCCCGAGCAACGTTCCCTTTCAGCTCCACACGTCTTTTAAAAACTATTACACTCTGGTGAGCAGCGAGTCGCTGGACAGGGAGACTGTCTCCGAATACAACATCACCCTCACCGCACGAGACCTGGGCTCTCCATCGCTCTCCACCAGAAAAACGCTTCTGGTTCAAGTGTCTGACATAAACGACAACCCCCCGCGGTTCTCCCAACCTTCATACACAGTTTATGTGACCGAGAATAACGCCCCCGGCGCCTCCATTTGCTCCGTCACTGCGTTCGACCCCGATTCGAACCAGAACGCCTATCTGTCCTACTCTATCCTGGAGGGTCAGATTCAGGGCATGCCCGTGTCCACTTACGTCTCCATCAACTCGGACAACGGCAACATCTACGCGCTGCGCTCTTTCGACTATGAGCAACTCAGAAACTTTCAGATCCTGGTGCAGGCGCAGGACGCAGGCTTCCCCCCTCTCGCCAGCAATGTCACCGTGAATGTCTTTGTCCTCGACCAGAACGACAACGCGCCTGTCGTCGTGTCTCCGCTGCCCAAAAACGGCACGGTGGCGACGGAGGTGGTCCCGCGCTCTGTGGACGCGGGGTATCTGGTGACCAAAATAACAGCTTTGGACGCGGACGCGGGGCAGAACTCCCGGCTGTCCTACCAGGTGCTGCAGGCGACAGACCCGGCTTTATTCAGCGTGGCTCTGTACACTGGAGAGATCAGGACCATACGCCGCTTGGCTGAAAAAGACGCAACAAGGCAAAGACTTGTGGTGTTAGTGAAGGACAACGGGCAGCCACCGCTGTCCGCCACTGTCTCCATTGTCCTCACAGTTGTAGAGAGCGTGCCAGAGTCGCTGTCAGATTTCGGAGACCTCATCAGCCCAAAGCCCCCCTCAAACCTCGCCCTCTACTTGATCGTGTCACTGAGCACAATCTCTTTAATTTTCCTCCTGGCTATTATAGTGCTGGCTGCGGTCAAGTGCTATAAGGACAGAGAGACCCACAGCGGGTATAACCTGCCCCCCTTAGCCTGCTGCTGCTGCGGGGGGTTTCAGCCGGAGCCGCCCCCTGAGGTGTTTAAAAAGTCCAACCTAAACCTGCAGATCTCCTCCGCAGCTAAAGTCCCCACGAACTGCATGGAGGTGAATGGAAACGGCAGCTTCTCTCAGTCATATTGTTATAAAGCGTGTCTGACTCCCGAATCAGCCAAAAGTGACTTTCTGTTTGTGAAGCCGTGCAGCCCGAGCAGCACGCCGCGGAACAACGAGGCGAAGAGCGCGGAGGGCGCGTGGAACAGCCGGAGCGCGTCTGTGAACAACGGAGCCGCGACCCCCTGCGAGGTACAGTCAACCCAGCAAACAGTACAGCACTTTTAGAGCGCGTGCTGCTGCCGCTGCACTCCACCTGGTTTCACTCTGTGACGCGTATGTAGTGAGTTTGTGACATTCCATCCCGTGAAGGTCAAACCACGCATGGCACGCAGTTTCCAATCAACCTGAGGAAACACACAGCATTTATTTTCAGTCTCTCCCACGCGTAATTTTCTTTTCACAGCATGCCTTTTTCCACACACACACACACACACAA